GAAGGAAACTTGCTTATATCCACCTCCTGTTGGTCGTAATTCACGAATTGTCCATAGAAATAGATTGTGTTTTCTAATTTCGAAAAATCAAACGACTTACACATGTCACACATCTTATGAACGATATTTAACTTTGTCAATCAGTTTTACGATGAGTGAATCTGTGTTCTGTCCCAGTAACTCCACATTATCGAATATCCTCTTGAGCACATTGTAGTAGAAATCGTATATGACATGTTTGGACATGTCCAGAATGGCAAACCCGATGAAGAATGGCTTTTCGACCTTGCGTACCGGTGTGTTCAACTTGATGCCGATCAGATTCTCGGAATACATGGTTGTCCCAGCGATCATGTCGTACCCATGCTTCTGAATAATGGCCTCGCGTTCATTCCATGTTCGCGAACTTCACTTTCATTCGTTTCAGCCCAGTCTCCATAAATTTGCCATAGGTCGAGTTTGCTAATAGCTTGTACAGGTTCTTCTCCACAGTGGTCTTGGATTTGGCTCGTTTCTCACTCAACATGTTTACGTATTCGAATCTTCCTATCATACTTCTCGGTGGTGTGAAGAGCATTACGATCGTTTTCGAACACCATTCTTCTTCTGTTTCTGGCTCCTCGTAATGGGTCGATGTGATCTTGCAGCCTTTCTCAATGCATTGGGTTCCTTTCGACTCTTGGATCGAGTGATGGGTGGTGCTGGCTGTGGTTTGCATTTGCTTGCCAGCAGTTCCCAATCAGAACACTTCTGTGTTCTATCGCTTTCCACATTCTTCACTTCGTACATCAATGGCATGATGTGATCATCAATGTCAACAACTTCAACCAAGTCCTGAGACCATTTGCTCGTCAATGATCGCTTTTCCAGAATGCGAGGTCTTCGTGTCACTCCAACATAATCATCAACATCGAATTGAGGTGTTGTGTTATTTACCGTCATGTTGGATGGTTCTGTTTTCTCCATGTATAAGATATCGTTGTTGTTGTTGTTAAGCCAAATGTCATTGGGTGTATATCCGATGTCTCTGTTCTTTCTTCCATTATGTCGACGAACTGCACCATCGATCAAATCAAACCATACACCTTGCCATTGATTGAATGGAACCATGATGTCTTCCTTGATATCTCGAATTGTTCGTTCGGCTAGTACTGCCTTATTCGCTGAATCCATGTGATACATGGTGATGTCATACTAGTTCAAGATGTTGGTACGAAAGATAACATTGGTGAATTCGGTACCTCGATCCGAGCATATATGCTTTGGTGATTCACCATATGTTTGAATGATATCCTTCATCGCATGAATGACTTCTGTAGCACTCTTACTTTTCAGTTTCCGAGTCATCAGGTATTTCGAATATCCATCAATACATACAAGGACATATTTGTATCCACGATTCTTGTAGAATCCAGTACTCTTTTATGATCCTAATACTTCCTGTATCGATTTGTGTTGTTTTGAAGAGAAATCGATGAGATCGATGAAGTATATGTTTCTCTTGAATGAACTGATGATCACTCGAGTGGCACCTCTTCGTTTTGCTGGTTTCCATAGTTCCTTGATCTCATTCATGCTCCCCACACACCTCGATAAATGAACCGCTTTATTCAAGGAATGAATGAGTTGTGTCAGAGGAAAAATGACAAACTGGTGGTAGACTCGAAATGCATTTTCTCCACTATACACTATTCCAAATAGGGCATCACTTGCATTCAGCATTGCAATGATCGTTTCGATGTTGTGGGCTCCTCTGGATATTAACGCCTCGTGTGGAGATGTCCCCACATCGATTAATATCACTTGATCGGTTGGGACGTTGTGCAACACGAAATTGGTATACAATGACACAGACGAGATGGAACACTGATCGAATGACAGAGGATTGTCCAGCTTCACTTCCTTCTTTGTAGTATTACCGAACACTTCCATCATACTCAACTGGTTCATCGGTAGAATTGAGGATGACACTTGATCAAACATATCTTCGATCGTCAATTGGAGTTCGAATTCGCCGTTCAATCGCATTATATTACCATCCATATCTCGGAACAGGAACATCAATCGATTGAATCGGGTTATCATCGCAATGCAAATGTTTTCCACGGTGCGGAGGTAATTAACCTCGGGATCATCAATGATCATTGTGGTGAGCAGATTGTTGTTCTGGTTGGCAATCCTCAGATCGGAGGAACGCACGAGAGACGAGTACACTTGGATCACTTGGCGATTTCGCGTGATATCAATCACGTTCGATCCATAGAACGAAGCAGATAGAATGACCGTATGCCCTTCCAAACCGAGGATTTCTCGATTATCCGGAGCATTGATGAAATCAATGGTGTGTGGATACTGGATATAAATACACCCATAACTCGAAGCCTTCGTAGATATCAAGAATGTAGTATTGGTCATGGTGTTAAGAATGGCAATGATTTCAGTGATCGTATAGTATCCAGGAGGAATCATTAACTTTTCGTCATTGGAGTTCGTGACCACATTAGTAGAATCCAGATTGTTGAACATGACTTGATTGGGTGTGAAGAGGACAGTCATGAAAGTGATGTAAAGATTCTTGTACTTGTTCGAGTTGATCCATTCGAACTTTCCATTACAAGATGAGCCTTGTATTATCATGAAGTAGTGCATTTTCTTTACCATAGTGGTTAGTGATTGAAGAGGTTTTGTGATTATAATATCCCTACCGACATGTGGCGTCAGAGGTAGCTCGGATTCCATGGAAGCGTGGGGTAAATGGGCGGTTTCGCATAGGCATAGTGGCTGATGGATAGAAATGGCAATTTCGCGCGTAAAAGGAGCCAGAAAGTGTTCGCGCAAAACACTTAAATTATCATCTACTATAATTATTTATTAGCAAATTGCAGAGAGTTTTCCATCGATAATATCATTTCTTGTATTTTTATATTTCTGAGACCAAGGTAATGTAGTGTATTAATAAGTAATATGAGGTATTATCATGTCACATAAATAATACTTTTATATATTTACTAATATAATTTCTTATTTCGTATCATTAGCATACTCATGATAAAGTATATCAATTGGTGTAATGAGGTACGAATAAGGCTATATATCAAGATTACAATATGTAGATATTTCTCATTGAAAGTAAAATGCAAAACTGCTGGTTATTAGATTTATAGATGTGTAAATATGTTTGTCAATATATGTATCTAAAGTGAATAATTTTTAGGGAAAAAACAAATTTAGTAAGAGAAATGATGCACTGATAATAAAGGTGATACGTTCTGAAAGATTTCTTATGATAACATGTTTATCCCTAATTGTGAGACTTTCCCGGTCGCATTATTTAGCTATAATTCAAGTTACTATTTAGATTTAGATTTATATCGATAATAAAAGGACTCTTCAAAGCCTATTAAAATGAATCCTTATTTGAGTTGTTTATATATTTATATGCAACACCATTATAACAAAAATAGATTGGATATTAGCACATTACCATTTATATTCATAAGTGTATTACCAGTCATTATTGTACTATACTATTGAATGGGAAAAAATAATAACTCATTACTGTTTTCATTTTTGACAAAAAACAATATACAACTGAATTACTTTTCCAGATAAGTCTATTTGAGAATATTAATATGTTCTTTGATGGTAATGTGTGAACAAAAACTAATAGAAGTAATTTAAGAAAGTTCAACCTTTGGAATATTGCTCACATTAGTTGAGATATGGAAGTAATCACTATGAAATAGTAGTACCATATTATTATAAAGCAGTATATGTATATATTATTTATTTGATACATTTGTGATTATAGATCGTAATCATGTTTTTCTAACCTATTTAATTGAATAAAAAAATGAATAGCATTAGAATATGAGATACCCTAAGTGTAACATAATTTTACATGCCTTATGATATCTAAATTGTGTTATATTACGTTAAGACCAAGTGTAAATATAAGATCAAAACCAAAACAAATCACCTATAACTCCTGATTTGAACGACGACAAAAGCATTAATACATTGAATACAATGATGAGCTATAGTATAATCGCTCATGCCTACTGTTCTTCAATGGATTGCTTCCATGAAACACATCTTGTATAGCAATATGCAATACTAAGAATAAAAGATCACAACAACAGAATAACTATTGCATCTGAGTCGATCGAAAAAAATCGAGAAGATTTTTACTTTATATTTCAAAAGAAGTAAAATACATTAAGTATTTATTACCTGAATAAAAAATAATATATATATATATATGCCTCTAGCAATATACTCAAGGTGTTTTGCATCATTTTAGATATAATCCATATATATAGAAGAAAAATATAAACAAAAATGAAAATAATAAAAAAGGAAAAATATCGATTAATATTGATGCTGTTGAACTTATAATATCTAATCAAGCAATGAGTAAAATTTGATTATGTTATAGCCCTCTGTTAGGATTCAGACAAAGTGGCTGACTCAGAGAATG